ATCTGATTACCCACCGAGGGTGAGAGGCAGGCCTTCAGGACCCAGCTCATGCTGCCTTGGGGCCTAGGGATGTGTCCAGTGGTGCTGGCTCAGGTGAAGGTGTCAGAAGGAAGGAAATGGAAGTCCTAGATTAGTCTCTCCTTTCCTGGGGTTTAGACCTTGGTGGTTGTGTTTGTGAAGTTCAAGCTCGAGGGCTTAGAGCAGGAGTCAGCAGACTTTTTCTATATAAGGCTGGATAGTAAATAGTTTAGGTTTGTGGGCCATACAGCCTGTTGTGACTACTCAGTCCTGCCATCGTGGTGCAAAAGCAGCCACTGACAGTAGAAAGTACGAAAGGACATGGGTGCAAAGAGAGGCATTGGCCCTTGGGCTCAAGTGTACTGACCCTGCCTCCAGGAAAGGCAGGGGGAGATAGGTGACCTTAAGAAAGATTTGGGGCTCAAAAAGAAACCCTTCAATGGAGAAGGAGAGAGTCATACCCGATCAGGCTGGGGCCACGTATGGCCCACAGGAACAAAAGTGAAACTAGTCTCTGAGGGAGAAATGAGGGCAAGGAGCCTAGGCCAAGCGTGGGGCGGATCAGAGAGCCCCCAAGTGTCACCCAGTCAGCAGCACTCACTCTCTTGGGCCTACACCTGGGGGTGCAATTGCTGGGTCATACGGTGACGATGTATAACCTTTTAGGAACTGCCACACTCAGTTCCTTGTTAAAAATTCTCACAATAGGCCAGCGAGACGGTTTCATAATCATCTCAATTGCACACTTGTGGGAATCAAGGCTCAGTAAACATGAGCCAAGCCCACGCTGGGCTTTCTGGATGTGTGAGTGTGGCGACAGGAGGGAAGAGCAAGAGGGGCCTGCCTACGGGGCCTGGGGGTAGACAGGGCCTTAGTTCAGACATGTCGCAGGGTGACGGGAGGCTCTGTCCCTCCTTGTTGGGTCAGTGTGTGCCTGCTGTAAGCTTCTCAGGGGGCTCTACTTGAACACGTCTGTTCCCCAGCCCCCTGGTGCCCCAGCATCTCTCATGCCCCAAGATCCCCAGGTGGGTTTTATCTCATGCCGCAGACAAAGAAGTAAAGTAGAACGTTTGCCCAAAGTCACACAGCCTGGAGGGACAGAGCCAGAGTCCAGTCCAGGGTCTTTTCTCTCTGTGCTCATGTCACCACGGTGGTAGCTCTTGAACTTGGATCTGCACAGGGTCCTCAAGGGCTGCCCCAAAGTATATGAGCAGGAGGCCAAGGAGCTGGGACCTCAGGCCTTCTGATCCTGCTCCAACCAGAACAGCCTAGAGCAGGGTCTCTCTCCCTGGGCACCATTGACATCAGGGCCGGATCATCCTCTGTAGTGGGGCCATCTGTGCATCAGAGGGTGTTCACCAGCATCCCTGGCCTCCACCCACTAGATGCCAGTTGGACCACTTCCCCCTAGGTGTGACAACCAAAAATGTCTCCAGACATTGCCAAGTGTTGCCTGAGGTACACCACTGCCCCCAGTGAGAATCCCTGGCCTAGAGATTACGAACCCAGACTCCAGAGCCAGACTACTGGGGTTCTTAACTTACCAGTTGAGGGACTCTGGGTAAATTCCCTGACCTCCCTATACCTCAGTTTCCTTGCCTGTAAAATGGGACAGTGATAGCACCCACCTCATGGGCATTACGTGGGTTAAACAAGTTGCAGTGGGTTTACAACAGCCTCTGGCCATGGTGTTAGCACCTCATACTAGGGGCTGGCTCACACTCCCTGCTCTGTGTTTTGAGGGGGAATTTGAAGAGCCTTGCTTCACCATTTTCTTGAGATGGGACACCCCATCCAGCCTTTGCCTTCTTATCAGAAGCTCCCCTTTCCTGTCCCCTCTCCCTGTGAAGCCCTCAGGGACTCTGCTTTCTCTTTCTCAGGACTTGGGATGCAATTTGAGGATGGAGAGGACACCAGAAAGGACACGCCAGTAAGAACAGAGTGGGACCAAATGCTGTCAGCGCGGTGCAGGGGTCCCAGCCCCCCAACGCTAGTTCAGGAGCCAGCCCCAGTCAGGGGCCTGACCAGGCCTCAGTGGTCTCTGGAAAGAGGAGGTCCCCAAAGGGAGGCAAAGTCATACACATGCCCCGAATGTGGCAAAGGCTTTAGCAAAACATCCCACTTGACCAAGCATCAGCGCACACACACTGGGGAGCGGCCGTACCAGTGCCCCGTGTGCGGGAAGGGCTTCAGCGACCGCTCCAACTTCAGCACCCACCAGCGGGTCCACACAGGCGAAAAGCCCTACCGGTGCCCTGAGTGTGGGAAGTGCTTCAGTCAGAGCTCCAGCCTGGTCATCCACCGCAGGACGCACACCGGGGAGCGGCCCTACGTGTGTGCTGAGTGCGGGAAGCGCTTCAGCAACAGCTCACACTTCAGTGCCCACCGCAGGACACACACGGGTGAGAGGCCCTACATGTGCCCGGCCTGTGGCCGGGGCTTCCGCCGGGGCACCGACCTCCACAAACACCAGCGGACCCACAGCAGAGAGAAGAGCCCACAGCCATGCCTCAGGGGTGCAGCCGCCCCCCAGACCCTCATGGCTCCAGGGGGCCCCTGGGGTCAGAGCCTGACCACCACTCATGGAAGTCAGTGACAGTTTGTGAAGCTGCCAGAGCTGTTTCTGTCCCGGAACCAGAAACCCTGATTTTAAGGCATCTTCAGACCAACTCCATTTGTTCCCCTGGGCCTGGTGTGAGAACATGGCTGTGGGACATTTAGGGTGGAGTTAATGGGTGCAGAGCAAATATATTTGGGTCTTGGGGCTCCCATATACGTGACTACAAACTGGGTGGCTTACAACAACAGATTTTCTGTTTCAGTTCAGGAGGCCATAAGTCCAAAGTCAAGGTGTCTGCAGCACTGATTCCTCCCGGAGGCTCTGATAGAGAAACCATTCTGTGCCTCTTCCAGCTTCTGGTGTTGCTGGCAGTCCTTGGC